GGCCTTTCCTGAGCACCTCTTAAACCGAACTCATGCTGCCGCCATGAACCCCCGCTGTGCATTCGCTGGAAATAGCTCATTATATCTAAAACTCTTGTAAACTGATAGTAGAAGGAATATGAAAATGATCCTTGGCGCATAGTGCATAAAAATAGACTCTGAGTCCAGTCTGCATTAGAATATAAAATAATGTGAAATTTCAGCACTGGTATTTAGACACGTCGCTGATCTTTCTTGTCTTATTTATATATATTTATAAATATGCATTATTTATATATCATGTTGGTCTTGCTTTCATTACTCTATAACTATTAAATATTAATATATATTTTCTCAGTCAGTGTGAACTGGTGTTGCTAAAACTATTTGATTAGCATGATCCAGTAACTCATGCTGTGTAAGTGACAAAAGCATAACGGCAGTCATTTCAGAACAAGTTATTACATTTTCAATAAAGATTACAAGAGTTACATTTTCAATAAAGATTATGAGAACAAATGGGAACAAAATTGCCAAAAAATACCCTGAAAGCAGGAGCTGTCATTTTCAAACATAAATTAGAAATGGTCAGACATAAGATAAAAGTACACTATCTGAACAAAATTACCTTTTCTCTGTCTCTGGGATCAAAGATACACCTTTATGCCTTTCCCCCTAAAAGGTATCAGGTATAAAGATGTTTCTTTTAGGGTACGGTCCTAGTGACAAAGTGCTGTACCACAATTTTTGGTCTTTTTTTTCTGAAAGTGTAGAGAGCCTGATGTTGTGAATTCTAAATCAAAGTTGCACCTCAGATAACAAAATAGAAAGCCTGATAGAAATGCATATTACACAAGCACCACAAAATGGCTGCCAGATTCAGGAGGCAATTTAAAACTTAAATAGTAGTGCATAAAAGGACAAATAAAGCCTTCTTTACTTTCAGAAGCTTAAAAGTAAATAAAGAGTTTTGTGCATATGTTTGCAATGTTTAAAAAATCTGGAGTAGGCTAATGTTTTTTGGAAACGCTGGGTGGTTTAAAAAAAATTGACTCCAGTGTGTATGACCCCTCTTGTGGTCACTAACTAAAGCTTGTCAGTATGATGTACAAAATGTACAAATCAAAAATGTGATTTTATTTTCAAAAAACCTTTCACATTGCAATAAACCAGAAAGCAGAGGTGTTTCACGCATGATAAATAGCAATGACTCATTTGTACTAATGAAATGTGATAAAAATCTAGGCAAGACAAGGCAAATTATTTATTTAGCACATCTGTACTTTACATGGGCATAATAAAGAACTAGAGAGGTAAAGACAAATGCAAATAAAGTTTAAACTCATTTAAGAACACAAAAGAAACACATTTAAAAAGAATAAGTTCCCATTCAAACTAGTTTTAAAAATATATTTTAAAAACATCTTCCATATATATATATATATATATATATATACATATATATAATTATTTAATAGGTAGTACAGTGCACAGAAGGCATTTAAAAATATTCTGTGGCAGAAAACACCTATTCACATGGTCACATGGTAAGTCACACATTCCACAGATAATTTTTTTGTACATATATACACATGCATAAATGTGATTTTATTACTAGATAAATTATGCATATATGTGTCTTACATACAGTATGCACCTTTTCTAAGTGTATTTTTTTTCTTTGGCCGTGTCTATTTTCACAGGACTAGAGTAAGCTACGATTGCCACTGGTGATCTCTCAAAAAAAAAATTATACTGAGAAGAAGAAGAAAAATGAAAATAAAGCAGCTATTTGGGATTTCAACAGTCACCAAAAGCGTCTCTGTGGGTATGTAGCTCAATTCGCACCATACCTAAATAGTTTCACTGTTAATAATCTCTCGCAGCAATGAGGGCAACAATAATTACCTCAGTGCTGAGCAGGGGGGATGTGGGCTGGTGATTTAGCTTTCATCCCCAAGGAAACTGAGCAGAACCTCTGCAAGAGCAAAATTCCCACAATGCACCACTGTATTTATGAAGCAATCACAGCTCTAAAGCACCTCAAGAGACACTGACGATAGACTCGCCAATTGCAAGGATCATATCTGTGGCTCAAGGCTACAAAAATACCAGTGTATAAACATAGCATAAATATGTTCAAAAAGTCACTGATGCTTTGCAACGCCCCAGGTTAAGGTTTTCATTTTGCTCCTGTTGTGGAGTTTTTGACTATGGTAGAAAGCAACATGAAATGAGCAAATAACGCACGTTAAGTCAAATCAGACCACATTAGACATGGCTGACGCCTTTGGTTTTAGAATGTTAGCCAACATTTACAACATGGCATGAGAGATGTGATCACATGACAAAAAAGTAAAACAGTTACGTACATAGAAGACTTTTGCGATTGATACACACACGCTTGCATACAAGCACGCACTGGGAATCCTGGAACTGGGAATAGCTTACCTTGGTCTCTCTCTCCTCCAGAAGAGTTTCTAGTCTTTTCTGTGCCGCTCTGCCTTCATGGTCGTCACTGACGATTAGAATGATGTGATTCCAGCGGAACTCCCGCATCATGTCAAACCACACATGTGCCTGGTGGGAATAGGGTGGAACTGTGCGGAGGAATGAGAGATGGATGCTCTGGAAGAAGGGTACAGAGAAAAGAATGTAGGAGACAAAGTTGAAAATGACAGTTTTTTTTTTTTTGAGTGAAATAATAAAGGTGTTTCTTCAACTACAAGATTTTTTTTTTTCAACTTATTTTATTTATAAAAAAATGTTATTTTTGCTACTGGTAGAAAGGTAGAAAGAAAAAGAAGAAAGTTGGGGCACATCATTTAAAAAAATTTAATTGCATCACTTTATCTCACAATTCAGAATTTTTAGAAAACATTTCAGAATTGCGAGATATAAACTTATATATAAACATCTCACAATTCTTTTTTTCACATAATTGCGAGTTTTGCGATAAACTCATACAGAATTGCGAGTTTATCGCAATTCTGAAAAGAAAAATAAGTCCGAACTGTGAGAGAAAAAGATGTAATCACCTTTTTTATTTTTTATTCTGTGGCGGGAACAATCTTCCATAGTTTCAGGATTATTTGTCATTATTTATTTTAAAAGATTGTCCAGTTCTGTTTTATAGATTTCATTGTTTTGTATTTATAATATTATATCATAAAAATATTACATTTTAAAAACTAAGATAATCTGTTTCAGTAGTTATTGTGTGAAAATGAATAAAAAAATAAAATATAGGTATTTCACAAACAAGTCAATTGTTTCATTACTAAATGAATCTGCATTTCTGAACAAATTGGTAGCATGAAGACAATCACTTATTTCGTTTCTGAATGACTCAAAGATTTGAATGAATCATTTAAATGAATGATTCAATGACTTAATCATAAAGACAGCCACTAATTCTCTGTTCTCGAATTAATCGATGTTTTAAACAAATCGGTTGATTTGTTGAATTGGTTGTTCACTGAATCAGTCATAAAAAGATTCACCCACTTGCATAACAACTGAACCTGCAGATATAGAGTAACTAAAAATCCCAACTATTAATAAAAAAATGATCTGTAAATATCACTTGTCAGCAAGATATTTTTTAATTTGGGTCTTTTCCAATCAAGCTGAACTTTTGTCATTTTTATGTTAACAGACAAACTAGTCATAGTATGGGAATTGATTTAGACCCCATAGCTGAATAAACACTCATCAATACCCAAAATGTTTCATACTGAAATTGAATAATTAAATTTCTCTCTCATTGCAGCCCACCTTGTCTGAGTAAATGGACATCCTGGTGGTAAGCCCTACTACAGGTATTCGGTAAAACCCTGCGGTGTAGGAGACCGGAGTGGGCGTCAGATGGTCATTGGACTGTGGTGGATGGCTCACCAGGATGGCGTACACCTGCGAATATGATCACAGAACTGGTTTAAATGCAAACTAGCTGTCAAGACTGGATCACAGAGGAGTGATCGCTATGACTCATGGATCTGGCCTCGTTCTGTGAATAAATCTATCACAGTCAGACAGATTGACAATTTGATTGATTGATGATGAAGGATGTTTGGTTGGACTCAAGGGAGCATAAGAGACAAAGAGGAATCTGGCATGTATAAACATGTTTTTGTTTTTCAAAAAATATGCTGTATTAAGAAGGAAAACCAACAATGGAGAAAAACATTATGTGTTTCCAGAGAGACCCTCCGGCATCGGCTCCATCTGTCACAGAATGTCTTCAGAGTGGGCAGAGACATCACTGTGCCAAAGGCGCTAAGACTGAGATACAGCAGTTTCGCATGGAACAATCTCACACAACCAAAAAATTAATTCAGCAATTATCCTGACATCCTGCTAACTAGCTACACAACCTTACGGCTCAAATTTATTGAAGGCATAATTAAGCACTAGACACCCACTGGGTTGACCAGGGTGGTTGGTGTGAATATTGAACAAAGGAGCACCATGAACAGGACGGGAGAGAGAGAGATTCATGTTCAACCCAGTTTTTGTTCAGTGCAATATCCAGGCCTGAGATAGACTCCTACCTCAGCACTTTTGTAATGACATCACCGGCCCAGAGAGTACTTAATTAGTATTCATATGGTGTATTTATAATGAACATTAGCTGTATGTCTCTAGCATTTTTGACTTGCAGTAGCTTCCTCTCCCAAAGACATTTTGCAGTTTGCAGATACCGATGCCATGCTGACCCTTCCACCCCCATCTTTATTTTTATCAAGCACAGTAATACTCTGTGAAAATAGAAACTGCTAGCATTGAAAATCATTGATTTTTCATGCGTCACCTAGTTTGTTTTGCAGCTGCTGCCCTCGGCCAGCATCGTCATCTAACTCATTCCTAACATCAAAGCTCTGTGGGGTCAGCTACAGTACGTTAACCTTTCCTCCCACCGTGAGTCCATCGACCTGCTTGGATCATCATCTGACAGGCTGTCCTGTTTAGACATCTAAACGAATTAGGCAGCCTCAATCTACTGCCACAATCCAAACCAAGTTCAACTGTCCAAGTCAGTCTCCACAGGTCAGTGCCTATACTGTAAAACTGTTTTGTTGGCTAGCCTAAAAAATGTGCTTTATGTGATAACATCCAATTTAATGGGTTTTATTCAAGTCAAAAACTATATTGAATGTGAGTGAATCAACAGTACTACATTAGGTTATATTTTAAGGCCAGAATATGTAAACATGGTTCCTTTTATTTTCAGCATTTTTTAAAATTACATACACCCTCACTATTTATTTAGTATTTATACTTATATAAAGAATATATAT